AAAACTGTGTCTGTCTGTCTGTCTGTTACCTCTTCACGCTTAAACCGCTGAACCGATTTATATGAAATTTGGTATAGAGGTAATTTGAGTCCCGGGAAAGGACATAGAATAGTTTTTGTTCCAGAAATCATCCTTTAAGGGAGAGAACTCCTTTACCGTGGGAGAGCCATGCTTCGGCACGAATGGGCCGGCTAGACCGGAGTGATACCACGGCCTTACAGAAAACCGGTGTTAAGCAAATCTTTCGTTGCCTTTCACTGAGTGAGTGAGGTTACCGGAGCCCAAATCCCCCCTCCCGCTGACTCGGGCGGGAGGGACTCCAAGGGCAGCAACGCACTTGTGATTTTTAAGTTTCAGGTGTCCATGGGCGGCGCTAGTTGCTTACCATCAGGTGACCCGTCTGCTCGTTTGCCCCGTATGCCATAAAAAAAAAGAAAAGAGGGTGAAAGTTTGTATGGGGAATCAAAAACCGCTGAACTGATTCAGATGAAATTTGGTATGGAGATAGTTTAATTCTTGAGAAAGACCAGACTTTCTTACCACGATAACCGACATACACGCGGGCGGAGCCGCGGGCAAAAGTTAGTTATAGATAAATAACATCCATACACAGAACAAATGACCGTGCTCAACACACAATCATTTGTCCTGGGTGGGAATCGAACCCACGACCTCGGGCTCAGCAGTCACGGTCACTAACTATTTAGTAGTTAGTGACCTATCAATAATATTGAGATACATATTTTAAATACATACAGACATATTTGTTTCTCATTAGGTACAAATATTTATACTGAGAATTGAACCTGCTACCTTTGATGTTGCTGCTACCGTAATGTCACAGCGACAAATAATCTAATGAGATTAAGAAGATGAAATAATTATAGCAGAAGCTATCTACATCGAGATTAGTTATTTGTTTCATTTTTTTCTTTTAAATAGACAAATCCCGCATTAGGAATATATCCTGTGTCGCGGGGGACTTTACAAACTTACATGAAACGGACACAGAGAACACCCAGACTCAGAACAACAATATGTGGATCACACAAAGTGTCGTCCCATGTGGGGATCGAACTTACAGCCTCGGCGTAGTAGTAAGCGGCGAGGTGACCTCTTCAACCACTACGCCATGCGTGCAGTCAATAACCAATATTAAGTCATTGATGTTCGGCTCCTGTTGGCCGTAGTGTGATAATCTATACTAATATTATAAAGCTGAAGAGTTTGTTTGTTTGTTTGATCGCGCTAATCTCAGGAACTACTGGTCCGATTTGAAAAATTCTTTCAGTGTTAGATAGCCCATTTATCGAGGAAGGCTATAGGCTATATATCATCACGCTAAGACCAATAGGAGCGGAGCACCAATGAAGAATGTTTCAAAAACGGAGAAAATTTATTACTATTGAGAGACGCAGACGAAGTTGCGCGGGTCAGCTAGTAAATGATATTTATTTCTGTAAGTAAATCTTTTCAGATATTTTTACAAGTCGGACTTTACAGCTAGAAGGCGCCGGCATGTCCTAAGACTCACTCTGGGAAGAAACGCCGAAGCAAACCTCATGTACTGTATTCGATACTAATATCATTTTTCAATTTGATCCGATAGAACAATCAAACTCTTCACACGCAAACCGGGCCTCAATTCTGCTATTTTAATATTGTATCAATGGAATGTCGTCGGAATAGTTTTGCACTTTTCCTATTCTACTAACTATGTAAGACCAATGGCCTCCGATGACTTGTCACTGATACAAATGTGGTCGATGTCTTTGTAATAGTTTGGTAAACGGTACATTTAAAATTTGTTAGAAAATGATATATTCAATGTTCCAGGTATGGTAATGTTGTTGATATCACCATTGATGACCTATACTACTATATCGACAGTCTATTGACACTGTGAATTGATGTTAGTAGAATACTGATATTTTGACCGAGGCCAATGGCGTCTCAATGGCATCTCAATAGCGTGTCAATGGATGAGATCGAACGATGCGGGAATTAACTAAACCGTACCATGATTAATTGAGTACAGTTTTAGTTCAGATTTATTGTATACAGTTAACACATAAATAAGTATTAGTTACAAATATATAGACGTAACAATCGGCGGTCTTAACGCTCACGGCGATCTCTTGCAGACAACCTTAATACGAATATTAGATATTAAATTATTTTTTTATGTATTTTTTACGAAAACATGCAATATACAAGGGGACAAATAATTTTTATTATTACCATTTAAAAAGTATTCAGATAATTAAATACTGTTTAAATGATAGCATTATTAATTTCTGAAATTTCAGGTAACTTTACACGACCTGGACTCATTTATATGACCCAGGTTCAATGCTTTTAATTGTACTAATTCAGAAATTTAAAATAATGTACTCATTTGTAGCTAATAAAATTTTAAACAATAAACTAGGTTAGGTATATATCAATGCATTGCAATATTATGTTTATGTATGTTCATAAACGCTTTATCAACAGTATAAACAATTTACTTGCAGTTCTTACATTATGCAAATGTTGCAGTACATAGCATCTTCAACTGCAACTAAGCATTACATTCTTATATGATCATTTAAATATTAACTAACTGGTGCCAGCGACTTCGTTCGATAAATGATATTTATCGCTGTAAGTAAATCTTTTCAGATATTTATAAAGTCGGACTTTACAGCTAGAAGGAGCTAAGACTCACTCTGGGAAGAAACGCCGAAACAAACCACAGAGGTGTCTTTTTTTTTAAGTCCGTAAACAAAGTTGAATAAAACTGTGCGAGTACAGTATAGGGTCTGGATAGGCCTTTTGAGGAAAGGACCATAGTTTTGAGTCAGCCTGTCCATACAGACGGCATACAGGCTCCAGCCATTGTGTAGCCTAACCGATATTGGTCAAGATCAACGACCCGAAGCATGACACTACCGACAGCAGGACATTTGGTCGTGGAATCACTCAAAACCACTAGAAAGTTACTAAAATATGAACTAACATTACAAGTCTACACTATACTCACATTTACATACTTACACAAAAAAACTATACAATTCAAATTCAATGAAAAGCGCTACTTGATGGTATAATACGGTACGCGACTGCCGTCCATGAGGCCTCGGGTTGAATTCTCACATCATCACATCAACAGCCTTTACTAGTCCACTGCTGGACATAGGCCTCTCCTTAAAAAGGAGGTTTTGGCCTACTATTCTATATCGTAGGTTAAATTCTCGGACCAGGCAAAAGCCTAAGTTCCTCCTGGCAGTAAAATATTATCAAAATCGCAATAGTCGTTTTGAAGATAATCCGGAACAAACAGACAGACAGACAAAAAGTATTTAAAATGGTTTTAAGGCATAGGTATCGTGCAAAAACCTGACTGCACAGATGGCGTAGAGGCGGTCGCCACGCCGCTTACTACTACGCTGAGTGTTGTGGGTCCGATTCCACAAGGACGTGTTGTCCGACAAGGGACGACACTTTGTATGATCCACAAATTGTTGTTCTGAGTCTGGGTGTTCTTTGTGTCCGTTTCATGTATGTTTGTAAAGTCCCCCGTGACGTGTGCAGTCAATATTATTTTGCAAATTGGTTTTTTGAAGGCACTTACATATGAATGTCACATTTTCACATGTTAAGTGACACTTCACAGCCCTGAAAAGTTGTAATTTTAGCTTTGTGTCGGCTACCCAGTAGTATTAAAAATAAGTTAGCCTGTTGGTGTGGTACTTTAGATCCTGGCAGAGGTCATGGGATGAATTCCCACCCAAGAAAAATAAGCAATAAGTTTGATGAGCATGATCATTTGTTTTTTTTTTATTCATGCTTCGGCACGAATGGGCCGACTCGACTAGAGTGATAACACTGCCTCACAGAAAACTGGTGTTAAGCAATCCTATCACTGCCTTTCACTGAGTGAGTGAGGTAAACGGAGCCATAATCCCCCCTCCCACTGACTTGAGCGGGAGGGATCCCAAGGGCAGCAACGCACTTGTGACTTTTGAGTTGCAAGTGTCCATGGGCGGCAGTAGTAGCTTATCATATATTAAAAATAAAGTAATTAGGATATTCAAAATCTTTCTTAAAATATTCCTTATTTGTTGAGACAATTACATAGTCTAATTATAGTATATATATATACTCTCAGACCATCTTCTTCCAACCCACACAATTTTCTTTCCACATCATGCCCTTGTCTACCCTGAACATATGTTTTAATATTATTTCACTAAAGTAACATTAACAAGATGATAAAGTGTATTTTTTCCAACATTTTTTTACTTTTATCATAACCATAAAATCTCCTGCTATTTTCTGCAGTTTATTTCTTAACTAAATAAGTCTTTCTTGAAATGTCTAATCATAAGGCTACCCTGATCTTAAATGTCATTTCTAACATTTCTAGTAATTTAACATAACATTTGCTTTTATTGATTGAATGACACAATTTATATGTACTAAAATTAATAGCTATAGGTTGTTAATGAGTTCGTTACAGTATAATAAATAATTTAAACAACATTTTAATTAAAAAGTTAAATTAAAAAGTATAAAAGTGTCAATGTCATGAATACATTTTATACTACCAGTTTATTATTCGTAAAATGTTAGCATAATATTTTAACTTAATATTATTGTAACTTGAACAAACATAGAATGTTATAAAACGCGGATTATTTAGGCTTTTTATGCGTGTCGATTGCCGTCGTGGAACCAAAAAAACATGATCTTACTAGTACTAGTTCTATCTCTTTCTACTTCATCTACAATTGCATATAACTATCTCAGCCACACCTGACAGATTTCACTGACGTGTCGCTGTCAGACTACAGTAAAGCGTAACAACAAACTATTTTCACCTTCTTTTTCGCTATTTATAACTTAACTTTAATATATATGAACATAGAAAGGAAGAATAATAATGTCAGCGAGTTTTGACAAGGGTCAAAACTTGTATAATAATAAAATAAGACTGTAAAAAAGGTTATACTTACTGCCTCCGTACTCCCAAAATGGAACTGATCCATCTTTTTGAGCTAAATATGGTGGTTTAAATGAAAATTTGTATTCAAATCGTCTATGTACAGACTGGGTGTTGACGCACACCAATAAGTATAATATTGCACTGCACAAAACTAAATTTAATTTAATCGAAGACATCTCGACGGCAAACCGTGCCTGTTCACGTCAAGTCTATCAAAAAATTGTTGATCGTGAAATTCGTTTGTGATTCGTCCGCTAACTTGCGTTCGGAAACAACACAGAATGAAATAAAACTAACAATTTGTGTTTTCAAATTATTTTACGACTGACACTAGTTTGAAAAGCTTATCGTGTTTTAATTACTGTTTGATTTATGTTTATTGTTTAATGTACTGTATAGTGTAAAATGTTCATTGATTTTAAAATTACAGTTATTGAACGTTCAAAAATTACGAGTGTCAGACTACGCGAATGTCAAAATATAACATTTTAGAATAAGGTACATATTATATACAATATTTAAGCTATATTGAAACTTGATTAAAGAAAAAAAAATTAATACTTGAATGAAAAACTTCATAAATGATAATTCTGTGCCCTACACATGAACTGAAATAAATGTAGGTATCTATTTTATGTATTCTCATTGTTTATTATTTATACTATTTGATTTAAAAAATGTTTATTATTTATTTTTATTGCTTTTGTGCTCATTCCCTTATTAAACATTTTATATCTAAATATAATTTCAGAATAAGTTGTTAACATAGTTCTTTGGAAATTAAAAAAAAGCGAAACATTTAGTTTTTATTATTTTTATTTCATTATTTAATACATTCAATCAACCTATTCTATTATCTTAAAGTTATTAAAATTATTAATTTTAATACTTCAGTAATGTTTTACAACTTAACATAATATATATATTTGTGACGGATGGCGTAGTGGTTTAAGCGGTCGCCACACCGCTTACTACTACGCTAAGTGTTGTGGGTCCGATCCCCACATGGCACGACACTTTGTGTGATCCACAAATTGTTGTTCTGAGTCTGGGTGTTTTCATGTATGTTTGTACAGTCCCCCGTGACATAGCTTATGTTCCTAATGCGGTAGACATCTTTAAAAAAAAAGCTTCATAATACAGTATGCGTTTTCTGCAATTATCATCTGAATGTTTATTAGCACTCAAAAGGAGAGCTGACTAAGGGTTGTGGTGTAATTTCACATTGTTAATATCCTTCTTAGTTTTTATGAATCAACAATTAATAATTTAACGAAAGTCCCTGAGGCTGTGTTACAATAGCTGTGATTACATATTCTTAGTTTGGTATATTGTAAATTTTTTTTTGCATTGTCTGTTAGCGGATAAATAATTTGACTAAGTTACCATATAAAATATTTAATACAACAATATTTATATTTATAGAATCTATACAAAAAAATAAAATTGAAGTGTCTGTTTGTAATGTCAAAATAATAGTTTCATGCGTACATGGTTATTTGCACAGTACCAATGCCTAAAAACCAGTTTAAATATTTTTTTCCTGTCTTTGTGTTCCGGGTAAAATTCAAAACGGCTGGATCGATATTGATAATATTTTACTAATAGGTAGCTGTCTATGTAAGGAGTAGTAGGATATTTTTCTCTCAGATAACAATAAAAAAAAATTTGGCCGATCCAGGACTCGAACCTGAGGCCTCATAGATTACAGTCGCGTACGTGTCAAATTCCATGTGAGATTATTAATAATACACATGTTAAGACACCACTTGACAGAACACTATTTTTTTTAATATAGGAGGGCAAACAAACAGATGGGTCACCTAATGCTTTCACCAAGGGTCTGAGGTAACTCGAATCCCCACACTGCTCCCCTCGATTCAGGAGGGGAAGGGCACTCATTGGGCATCAACGCACTTGTGTCTCTGAGTTGCTGGTCTCCATGCCTGGCTATAGTAACTTACCATCAGGTGACCCGTCTGCTTATTTGCCCCCTACACGCTAAAAATAAATAGGAAACTGCATCTGTTGACTGCAGATCGTCACCATCAAGAGCCTGGATTAGTTAGAGCCTTTCCTTAGAAAGGAGGTTTTGCCTACTATACCAAGCTGGCTAGACGGGTTGGTATAGGGTTTGTGTCAAGTTTTCCTTCTCTTTGCATTTCTGTTGTCTTGCGTAGTTTGCTCCCTCAGTCGTCTCTTACGACACCCACGGGATGAACAGGGGTGGTATAGGACAGCGTGTTATACCAAGCGACAAATGACACAAACCCTATACCAACCCATCTGGGCTTGGTATAGGGTTTGTGCCAAATTTTCCTTCTCTTTACAGTGCTGATGTCCTGCGTAGTTTGCTCCCTTAGTCGAGTCTTACGACACCCACGGGATGAATAGGGGTGGTGACATTCCATATTCTTAATCCGTCACCACATGGACTTCTAGTATCATGACCGGAGACAATAGCTACTACCGGCGCCGCATAACCCGGCCGCAGCTCGAAGTGCTGGTACAATACATGGAGCGCTACCCCGCCCTGGCATTAGCCAGCGCCCGTTCTAGAGAGGGGCATATACAACGCAAGCGTATGTGGGAGAAGATATCGCGGACCTTGAACAGAGTAGACCAGGACCAAGCTAGGAGTGGACACAGTTGGCATCGGGTATGGTACTCCTTCTAAAGTAGGTTTTTATAATTGACCAGTAACTGCCTGGTCAGTTTATTAACAGATTCTTTGACGACCCGTTTGGTCTAATGCCTGGTGACCCAGATAGCTGATTATGGGTTTAATTCCCACCAAACGACAAATAAATGAACGACAAGCCTAGGTTTACGATGTAACTCTCCGTGTCTACTCTAGATGGCGACTATTGATCCTGTATCGCGCCATATAAGTTCTCGCGTCCACATTTCAACTTTAGGTCAGCAACTGTTAGAATTTGTGTCGTCCAAGCTTGATCACCACTTTTGGTTGAAGGATCCTCGAAAGTATACGCCCGTCTAATAGTACGGTGATTACTTTAGCCGAAGGACGCTTGCGATTCTTCTTTCTAGAAGATCCTCTAGAGTACCCAAGGGTAAATTTTTAAAATGAAATATGTGCAGGATTCCTCTGGAACTTCATCACGCGCTACCAATTAGGTTCCAAGGTCTGCTTGGGCTATCATCCTATCGATGGTGAGTGATGCAGGGGTAGAATGCGGCCGTGAGCATCATCATTCATCATCACAAAAGTTCTGACATCTTACCATGTTCATAGACCCCAATTACCACTTGGTATTAAGCCAGCATAAAAATATGTCTAATACTCCTTCTGTGGGCTCTCGAAAATACCTACACTCTTCTTTTTTCAGTACTGGTTGGACCTGAAGTTCAAGGTACGTCGAAAGTACTCCGTGATCCAGAAATGTCAAGTGGAGGGCACGCACTGTACAATACTACTGAGCCCCCTGGAAGATCGCATCGTGAAGGTACTCACCGACGATAAGGGAAACCTATTCCCCATTGGGTCTATCTATCATCAGATGCTTCAATACCCTTTGAAGGAAAGCACGGTGAGATTTAATGGGAGTTTTTAAGTCTGGACTGATTTTGTATCTTAGTAACCAAAGTTATTTTTTTTTATTTCTACCATATTCACACAACGCCATCTGGTCCCATACTAAGCAGAGCTTGTACTATGGGTACTAGACAACTGATATAAATACATATATACTTTTTTTTGTAAATACATACTTATTATAAATAGACCCAGACCAAATCAAACATTAAATGTTACATGCATGTGCATACACACCGGTGTTAAGCAATTCTTTCGTCGCCTTTCACTGAGTGAGTTTCACCGGAGCCCAAGTCAGCGGGAGGACTCCAAGGGCAGCAACACACTTGTGACTTTTGAGTTGCAAGTGTCCATGGGCGGCGGTAGTTACCATCAGGTGACCCGTCTGTTCGTTTGCCCCCTTATACCATAAAAAAAACACAAATGTTTGACTTGAGCGGGAATCGAACCCGCTACCCTTGGAATAGCAGTCCGTTACACAAACCACTACGCCATCCGGTCATGAGTAACCAAAGTACCAACAGAAATATGTCACAGCGCCCTCTTGTAATAACTAGTCGAACTATGAAGTCGTTTAATAATCCTGAATTGTACACTGAAAGTTCTTGATGATGTTGACTGCTAAACAATTTCCTCAAGTGTTTTATTGTTATCCAGCGGGTACGATCACCTACCCTGGTAAGAGATCCTATACTCATCTCAGGGGCGCATTGCATATTTCCCTTAACAATTATTATAGTTTTAATGAATACGGATTAAGAATACGGAGTGTCACCACCCCTATTTATCTCGTAGGTGTCGTAAGAGCTGACTAAGGGAGCAAACTACGCAGGACGACAGCACTGCAAAGAGAAGGAAAACTTGACACAAACCCTATACCAACCCCTCTCACAGGTTGGTATAGCAGGCCAAAACCTCCTTTCTAACAAGAGGCCGATGTCCAGCAGTGGACTATGTGATGATGAATTATTTCTAGTTCATTGATAAATCGGTTATCAGCCAATTATCCTATACTTTCTTCTGTAAGAACTCCACGTTACGTTCGGGCATCTTAAACCTTACTGACCCGCGCAATTTCTACTGCGTCTCAAAAGGAATAAATTTGCCTGCTTTTGCAACCTTTGGAACGACATTCCTTATCGCGCGTTCCGTCTCACGAAAAGTTGTAACGACACTTTTTATTGTTTTGAATTGTCACTTGTCAGTCATTCAGCGCCATCTATCGAATAGATAGGAAATCATTTCTCAAGGAGATTTTACCAATGTATAAATTGTTTTAATTAGAAACCAACTGAAAAATATGTAGGTAATAGCCGCTTTCATAGATGGCGTTGTAATTAAAATCGTGTCGAATCAGTTTTACTCGATCGTCACAACTTCGTTCCTATCGGGTGTCCCAGGACACCACACGGCTTTTTTTCATTGCTGTTCGGTTGTTATTTTTCGTTGCGTGATGTTTATTAATCCTTGAAAATTAGGCTATTCAACACTAAAATAATTTTTCTGTTCGAACCATTACTTCCTGAGATTACCGCGTTTAACCCAACAAACCAAGAAACAGTTTTATTATATTAGTACCTACTAGCTGACCCGGCAAACGTTGTATTGCAAAACAAAAAAAAATTTGGGATGGGTCACCCTTACCATTTAGGGGTATGAAAAATAGATGTTGGCCGATTCTCAGACCTACCCGATGTGCACACAAAATTTCATGAGAATCGTTCAAGCCGTTTCGGAGGAGTACGGGAACGAACATTGTGACACGAGAATTTTATATATAAGATAAAGACAATCATTTTTTTCAGAATAATAAGCTAAAACCAATAAGCGACCTAGGCAGAAAAATCGATGACGTCATAAACATTAATGACGTAACCGAAGACACACGCGAAGACTTCACGACCATAGAAAATGACCATCTACCAGAACATATTCTTCTGCCAGATTCTTCTGACGTAAAACCCACCGTCGATAGATTGAAGCACATACCCGATGTAGACCCTATACAGATATTGGCAGAAGAGAAGAAACCTATAGAAGAATTAAGAAGGGAGCTGGTGGAGTTTGAGTTGAGGAAGCAGAAGGAGCTGTTTGAGATGGAGAAACAACACAAGAGGGAAAAGCATGAGATGGAAATGTCTATATTGATGATAAAGAAACAAATTATGACGAAAGAATTAAATAAATTATAGCGTTAAGTGTTTGTGGAGTTTTTTTTACTAACGTACAACAGATTTCCGCGTGAATTAGAGTTGCCTTCAGCTAGTTCCTGGGCACCGATGCTTGTTTGCCACATCGGTGTCATATAAACGGAAACTGTAATATGTATGTGAGGCAGTTTGTTTATCTTAATGTTATATACCATTACGGTGGCAAACAACTATGGTGATGGTGTCCGTATCTCTTGCAATGTATACAGCCAGGGCCGGCAACTAAGGGCCCCGCGCGGGCTCAATAGAAATTTGCAAATACAGGCAAAAAATATTTGGAAAATTTGTATCCTCAAAGACAATATTATTGCTTTTTTCGACGCATGCCGTCAGTTGATCAAATACCAGTACTCCGGACTTACAAAACATAACCGTCTACGCATTGTATGGTAAACAAAAGTTTTGAAAAGCTTGACCAGTTAGGGGGAGCAGGGATTGCGGGGAAGATAATATTGTACCCGCGCACTGCTGATATCGATAAATTACTGCATTGCTGCAAGCGCCATGAGCACAGATGAACTTCATCCATGATCATGGCGCTTGCAACAGTGCCGAAATATCAGAAACAAATTTCCGAAAATAAACATGGTGAGTTCCCGTTTATAATAAACTAGCTGACCCGCGCAACTTCGTCTGCGTCTCTCAATAGTAATAAATTTTCTCCGTTTTCGAAACATTCTTCATTGGTGCTCCGCTCCTATTGGCTTTAGCGTGATGATATATAGCCTATAGCCTTCCTCGATAAATGGGCTATCTAACACTGAAAGAATTTTTCAAATCGGACCAGTAGTTCCTGAGATTAGCGCGTTCAAACAAACAAACAAACAAACAAACTCTTCAGCTTTATAATATTAGTATAGATTAATAACACATCAAGGTTTCATTTCGTTTATTGTTTGTTATTGGATTTATCAACAATAAAGAGCTGATAATCCTCAAACGGGTATAAAGAAACCCTGAGGATTGCATTGCTCATGTGCCCCGATAGTTCATTTATTCAGAAACAATCGTATAATTGTGTTTGAATGTATAGCAATTCGCATTAACACAGATATGGATACGGTTATATATACTCGTAGATATGGTTAATCTGGTCCTGCATACAGCCAAGATCAAGCAGCATTAAATCAGGTCAAGTCAGAAGATCCTGCCGGTCCATAATTTAGACTTTGTCCATTTTTTTATTTCCTTGTCGACAGTTGCTTGAGAACCTAACTGTGCTAGGGGTTGATGCGCTATTGGTTTTTGTCTTTTTTATGGTTCAGGGGTCACATGGATAGCTGTAGTGACTTATCATCAGGGTAAGGAACTTCCGCCGTCCATGAACACCTGACGTTCAAGGGTCACACGTGCGTTTTCGATAACGACCATTTAAACCTTATTTTTTTCGTAAGTAGGTCAATTATGGTGAGGTAAGTTTATCAGTGTCACCACCCCTATTCATCCCGTGGGTGTTTGCGATTAAGGGAGCAAACTACGCAGGCCCACAACATTGCGAAGAGAAGGAAAGCTTAAAACAAACTCTATACCAACCCGTCTCGCCAGCGTGGTATAGTAGACCAAAATCTCCTTTCTAAGGAGAGGCCTATGTTTAAAGAAAAACCATGATCCATTCTTCGGCACATGTTGGCACGACCGGAGTGGCCTCACAGAAAACCGATGGTAAGCCATAATGGTCTCCCTCTTTTTTTTCGTCACAATTCTCGGGGGCACGTAAACGGTCTCTTCGAGTGATTTTTAATCTATACAAATAAATAAAATTAAAGAGTCTGTAATGTCAAATAATAGGTTTTTTCATGCTCACAGTTATTTGCACGATATCTATGCCGAAAAACCAGTTTAAATATTTTTTGTCTGTCTGTCTTTCTCTGTCTGTCTTTCTCTGTCTGTCTGGTTGTTCCGGGTTCGGTCCAGCCGTTTTGAAGATCACCCGGACCAAACAGCCAGACAAAAAATACTTAAAAAAGGGTTTTTAGACATAGGTATTGGAAATAACCGTGTTAGCATGAAAAACCCTGCTATTTTAACATTACAAACAGAATTCAATTTTATTTATTTGTATTGATATCTACTTTGTGTCAATGTCAAGAATGTCATTTAACGCTATAATAATAAGAAAATTATTCGGCCATTTTAACATTATCGTTGAGACGTGAGCTATATAAGCAGCACGTAGGCGCCATGTCGTCATTGGGCCCCTTGTTTAACGACATGACGGCGCCAAGGAGTTCAAGGTTACGATTGGGGGTTGGACATATGGTGAAATAACTCTCCGATTGCTGTAGTTCGTATGTTATCAAAAGTTTAGTGATGGGGTCAGAACGAGGGTCAAAATAATCTTAGATCGAGATTGAATAATATCATCATCAACAGCCTTTAACAGTCCACTGCTGGACATATGCCTTTCCTTAGAAAGGAGGTTTTGGCCTACTATACCACGCTGGCCAGACGGGTTGGTATAGGGTTTGTTTCAAGTTTTCCTTCTCTTTTGAATAATATAGCAAATCGTAATGAAATATAACTGTTTGTTAACTAAGAAAATTTTATTACGAATGCGTAAATATTATTAGTTTAATATTTGATCTATTATAATAATGATTAACAGGAATTTTAAAATCCTAATAATATCATTGCAGAATATTTATTTAATTTACACTATCATTCATTCTTAGTTTTAAACAACGGTAACACGGATGTCAGATTTAAATTTAATGCTGTCTTAATGAACACCAAATTTAGTTCGACTTGACAACAGAATAAAATTTTGAAGATCGCCTCACTGAAATAAGAGAATTTTAGAGAAGTTTTAGTTTAGTTGTGTCAACAACAGATTTAGCACCAATAATAATTACCTGATCTGTCTGATCCCAAACTAGGCAGAGCCTGTACTATGGTAACCAGACCGCTGATAAACATACTTATTTCTAAATACATACATATTATACATAAATTACACCCAGACATAGAACAAACGATCGTAATCATCACACAAATATTTGTTCTGGGTGGGAATCGAACCCATGACCTCCGGTTTAGCAGTCAGGGGCACTAACCACTAGACCAACAGGAATGTCAAATATCTCTATTAATAAAAAATATTAGTTGAAATGGCACACATTTAATCGACTTACACATTTAGAACTTTATCAAATTGATCACGAAATTTAAAAAATGTAATTAACAGTGCAATAAGAACTATTATTGATACCACACCAAAAATGATGCAAAAACGACGCCTTGTGATTGTTCGTCTGTCTTCCAGAGCTACAGCTTCTCTAAGGAGCGTTTCTCCTTCGACATCCTGGTGATCTGACTCATCCTGGATTATGGTTATTTCGGTATGATGGTCAAGACCTTCGGGTGTGTGAACCTGCAGAAGAAAGAAAAAGGTTTGGTTTATTTAGCGGTATTGCACATTTATTGCAACAAGTCAAACAAAACGGAACAGAGTGGCTTCTTAAACAGGACTATGCTAATACTGAGCTATTGCTAACGAACTGACAGAATACAGACATACACTGTTTGAGTTTTCTTACGTGATGACACACACACACACGCATACACACACGAATACACACGCACACACACACACACACACGCTCGCGCTCGCTCACTCGCTATACAAAAGCAACTTAATTACCTATATTAACGATCGAACACTGCTTCTTATGAAACAGGTTATACCTTATGAGTATAAGCAGCAGGGCTCAGAATACAGTAAACAAAGTAGTTTTACAAACTAACAAAACATATATTTTAAGACTATAACACTTTGTATCTACTTCTACGTTGTACTTTATGCAAAAAACTTATTATTATTGCTAAGAGAAGGAAAACTTGACACAAACCCCTTTTCTTAACGTGTGTAAACCCTAAAGGGCAGTCCGGTCAACCCACCAGGGTTTGCGACGGGGAGGTGTGTGGGAATCGAACCGACTAAAACACCTTGATGTGCCACTCCGCGCCTGAGATACACGCACATGCAGACATCGCTCCTCGCAGTTGGACACTTTAGCGGATGGAGGAGAAAAACCCGTCCCGTCCCCCCGCGACCACACTCAAGGCAGCATGAGGTGCAGGTAAGCGCGCTTACAGCGCTCGGTTCACCGGCACTCAGGGAAACGTCCGGACGCCAAGCTAGCAACTCCCTGAGGCGGTCTGCCATGTGGTCGAGGGCTAGGGCCAGCACTCGAGCCGGTATCACCCTTAGCTCCGAATCCCGGACGGGCGGAACATCAACAACAGCCGTCGAGCCGCATAGTAGGCGCTAGTCAGTAGTCTGCTCCTTTACCTCCTACACACTTAAACAAATTATAATATCAGTCCACTTACCGAATCACCTCCATTTTGTGAAGGGGTCGTATGAACAGCCCCGTTTTGTGGTGATATGACGTCAATAATGGCGCTTGGTGAACAACTTCCATCTAATAAAGTCACTGGAACTGTATTGGTTTGTGGTGACTTCAGAGTAAAGGTATTTGATGAAGAACTTATTGGAACAACGATGCTTTGTGTTGAGCTCACTGGAACGGTGCTACTTTCTGATGAATTGACTGGAACAGTGGTACTTGGCTGTGATTTCAACGGGACATAGCTATTTTCGGATAAGTTCTTTGGAACAATGGCACTTGGTGACGAGCTGACTAGAACAGAAATGTTCTTCAAGGAGTTCTTGGGAACATTGGTACTTGGCGACGAATTCACCGAAACATATTTATTAAGTAACAAGTCCTTTGTAGTAATGACACTTGGCGATGAGCTCGCGGAATAATAGTTTGTTACTAATTGATTCTTTGGAGTAACGTCACTTGGCGACGAGCTTTTTGGAACAGTATTACTCTGCTGCGAGCTTTTTAAAATACTGTTTCGAGGTGGTGAGTTCACTGGAACAGCACTACTTGGTAACCAGTTGCTTCGAGTATTATCACTTGGTAGTAAGCTTTTTAGAACATTACCTTTTAGTGGCGAGATTTCTTGAATAGTGGCACTTGGTTTCCAGACTTCTGGAACATTATTAATTGGTGGCAAGTTCTTTTTTGTATTGTCCCTTATTTCTGAAACAGCTTCATTTGGTTTTGAGATTTCCTTAGTAGTCTCACTTGGCTGTGAGATTTCTGGAGTAACAGTTGATGGCAAGCTTTCTGGAAAGTAGTCATTTGGTTTTGAGATTTCTTTGGCAGTGTTACTTGATGGTGAACTCTCTAGAACATTGTCGCTTGGTTTTAAGATTTCTTCAACAGTATGACTTGGCGGCAAGCTTTCTGCTACATTGTCACTTGGTTTTAAGATTTCTTCAACAGTGTCACTTTTCGCCGAGATTTCTGGAACACTCGGTGGCGAACTTTCTGGAACATTGTCGCTTGGTTTTGAGATTTCTTCAACGGTGTCACTTGGCGCCGAGATTTCTGGCAAAACAATTGGTGGAGAGCTTACTGGAACATTGTCCCTTAGTTTTGAGATTTCTTTAACAGTGTCACTTGGCGGCAAGATCTCTGCAGTAGCACTCGATGGCGAGCTTTCTGGTATATCGTCACTTGGTTTTGAGATTTCTGGAACTGTGGTATTCGGTGGTGAGCTCTCAGGAACGGAGATACTTTGCATAGAAGTCGCTGGAACATTCTTGCTTTCTTTATTTTGTGACTTCTCTGGAGCACTATGCTTTCTAGATATAGGCTTGGCGTCCGGTGGTGGTGGGGCGAACTCTACGTAGAAAGGTTGTTCAGGAATACTTACTACTACCCAGTAGGAGCTGGTGAGTTCTCCTAAATCTAGACTCTTCATGGAATGGGAACCTATAATTGGACCGTGGAAGTCGACGATTCCTGAAGGATCAAGGGTGAAGTGGAGAGTGGAGTCATTACTGGTGTAAATTTTGCTAACCCAAAATCCTGGTAGACTACCTGAAGTAACTGTGCAAGGTAGGGTGTCTGGGTTACGGCTGGTAAAACCCACGTTAACGTAAAACCCCACAGAGAAGCTTAAATGCGCCATCTTAGGCCCGAAGCGTAGGTAGACCTGAAAGGAAACAGATGACATTAAAATCTCATTATAGAATCCTCGGCGTGAAAAGGCACATTCTGAAGAGAGAAACGTGGAAGAGACTAATTTCACAGATAGCGTAGTAGTTGAAGTGGTCACCACGGAGCTTCCTAAAACACTGAGGGTTGTTGTTCGATCCCCACATGGGACAACAATTTGTGTGTTCGACAAAGTATTTTCCTGATTTTGGGTGTTCTTTGTGTCCGTTTCATGTATGTTTGTAAAGTTCCCCGCTACACAGGATATATTCCTAGTTCGGAAGTATTATTTTTTTTAATATAAAGGTGCGCGCTGTATGTCAGGATCATGGCAATAGCGTTCTGTCGTCTCTGCCTACCCAGGAGTGAGGGCATAAGGCGTGAGTGTATGCACATATTTAGGATCTTACTTTTAAATAATTGCTGAGTTTGTGGCTGTCGGATGTGAAGATGGCTTCTCACGGGTAGCAAACCAAACTTCAAAAAATATTAAGTGTTCAAGCGCCTATCAAAATACTACTGGCAGCACATGAAAGGAGCGAGTGTTGTTGGATCTTGATAGGCTTCTTATATTTTTAAAAACTGTATGTCATTTTTTTATTACACGTTCACTTCTGTCATTAGAAACAAGTCCAGTTGTTTAATTTTCGTAATTATCCCAAATCTTCCCCCAAACATGGTCCATTATCGAGCTGGATGCTGGATAAATCGTTTTTATTAAGAATTAAAAGGAAGATTATTAAAATACAAATTAACAATTGGTGAACC